CCTCACCCTCCCGTTATCCCAACGCCCGCCCAGCCCGTGAAGGTGAGTGATGTGGCCTCACGTGGTGGCTTGGGGTGCCAGGGCTGGGCAGTGGTCACCCTTTGCTTTGCTGCTTGGAAGGGGAACACCCGCAGCTTGGTCCAAAAAGTCATGTTCTGAGAGACCGAGGAGCCTGCAGTGACTCCCTCTGGCACCAGTTGACATCAGACATAGGATCATAGACTCGGAATAGCTGGGGTTGGAAAGGACCTTAGGATCATCTAATTCAGCATCTCCGTGTCCTCCTTATGTTGAGGACCCCAGTGCTGGGTGCAGCACCCAAGTGGGGTGTCAGGAGAGCAGAGGGGCAGGATGCCCCCCTTGGACCTGCTGCTCACGCTGTGGGGATGCAGCCCAGGACGGGGTGGGGGGTTCTGTGCTGGGAGCACACCCTGAAGCTGGTTCACATCCAGTTTCTCTTTCCTTGGTCCTAGACAAAAAAAGGGGTGAAGAGGAAAGCAGACACCACCACCCCAACCACCATCGACCCCATCCACGACTCCTCATCGCTGCCCGCTGAGCCCAAGTCCACCAAGCTGGGCCCACGCCGGGAGAGCAGCCGCCCGGTGAAGCCTCCAAAGAAAGATGTTCCGGACTCTCAACAGCACCTGGTTGAGAAGAGCAGCAAGATCTCGGAGCAGTTGAAGTACTGCAGCGGGATCATCAAGGAGATGTTCGCCAAGAAGCACGCTGCCTACGCCTGGCCCTTCTACAAGCCCGTGGACGTGGAGGCTCTGGGGCTGCACGACTACTGCGACATCATCAAGCACCCCATGGACCTGAGCACCATCAAAGTAAGTCCAGGTCTATAGGAGGACACGTGTGTCGTGAGTGGAGTAGAACCAGAGGTGGTTTCTCGCCCTGCATGTGCACTTCAGGTCTCTGCCAGGTACATTCAGTCCCTGTTCTTCTCCTCTTGCTGTTCTCCTGACATTTGGGAGGAACAAGCTAGAATCCTTCCAGGAGAGCTCTTGGGAGATGCTCACTCGGAGTTTATGGACAATGTCCTTTATTGTGTAAATCTCCCCTTTTTTAGCCCAGGAGGTGGCCTCAGAGAGCCTAAATCAGAGGAACTAGGAGATTCTGTTGAAACCAAGCCCATTGTCCTCATCATCTTCATCCATGTTTCCCCTCCCAACATTCTTTCATTGCTGGAATGGTTTGATTTTAACACACAGCTGCAAAGTCACCCCTATTCCCTCTTGAAATGTTCAGCCATGGTTGAGAAGCCTTAACTTAAAGCTGGGCATCCATAATTCTTTACTTAGAAGTCCAACTTCATGGCTACCAAGTGTTCATCCATGCTTTAGAAGTCCAGCTTTAGCTGGGAATCCCTAATTCCTTACTTGGAAATCTTTAACTGTTTAGTTTCCAAGCCTTAATCCATGATTTAGAGATCCAGTCTCTTGGCTATGGGCTGAACGTGAGCACATGCAGCTTGAGCTCAGCTCTGACTCCATCTTTGCCCGGTTTGGGCCTATGTTTTAGATCCAGAGGACTCAATTTTCCCTTCCCACAGCCCAGTCTGTGCTGAGGTTCCACCAGGGCTGAAGCCACAAGGATCATGGCTCTTCCTTCATGGTGGTGTTTCAGACCTGTAGGCAGGATCTTGTACTGTGCTGTAGAGCAGGTCTGTGCCCTCCTGGGGTGGAAGTCCAAGCTCTGGAGACACCAGCTTGGTTCCTGGATGGTTGAAAGTGGGTGAGATGGTTGAATCCTGTCCCCTGCGTCATCTTCCATCATTGGGTGAAGGACCATCCTGGTGTCCTCTGTCCCTCCAACCAGGCTACACCATTAGGACAACTCAACATCTTCCTTCTAGGACAAAGCTCGCCACCTTCTTCTGCCAGCATGTGCTCTTGGGTGCATGTGGAGGTTCAGTAGAGCCAAGATCGTGCTCCTGCTCTTCAACACCAGGTCCCTGTTCCAGTCCTCATCCAAACCTCCTCGCTGCTGTCAAACAGAGACAGCAAGAAGGTGGCTTGGAGGGTACATAGTCTTCTTCTTCACACCACTGAGGATGCCCAGAGCCAGCTCTTTCTTTCTAAACCACCCACAACCCTTTGTTTGACCCAAATAAGTTGTTCTTTGACTCAAGTTCAGGTTTGGCCAACATTTGTCCCTCTTTTGGCCAGAATCAGTTGTTCCAACATAGGGAGAAGATGGGTGCATGAAATCCATGGATGTCCCAGAGCTGTGTTTATTCCCTCACCCCTTTGAGGTATTTCCACAGTTAATAGCAGAGTTTTGATGGGTTTTTTCCCCACCTTCTCCTTTCCAGTCGAAACTGGAGAACCGGGAATACCGGGACGCGCAGGAGTTCGCGGCGGACGTGCGGTTGATGTTCTCCAACTGCTACAAGTACAACCCCGCGGATCACGAGGTGGTGGCCATGGCACGGAAGCTGCAGGTGAGGACTCGTGTTGTCACGGCGTTAAGGACCACATACGGTCTTGAAGGAACATCTCCAGGGTGGGAGATGATGGTCAGGAATCCCACTTCTGCTGTGGAAGTGATGCTGGGAGTGAAGGAATCAGTCCAAGTTGCTCCTTTAAGCTCTTCTTTTCTTTAATAGCATCTTTATCCCATCCTCTCAACTCTTGATCAAGGAGTAGGAGGGAAAAGTGTGGCTCCAAGGTGTCAGTTTGGGCCTGAAAGCACAGAGTACTCGCTGCTTTAGTTCCATCGTCCTCATGGTGAAGGTTCCTGCTCTTGTTCTTCGAGGGTTTGGCACTAAGGAATTAGCTGCTGAAGAAGCCCCATGTCTCAAACACATTCGGCTGCTCCATAAAATCCTCCCCATTCCCTCATTCTTCATGTTAATTTGGAGCTGCCACACGAGGACACGTGGCCAAAGCAGGAAAAAGCACTTTGCTCTGGGTGGATCTGGGGGGTCTGAGCTCCTGTAGTGGAGTTTTGACCCAAACATTTCATCTCCTGTTGTTGAAGCACTCGGGCATTCCCCATGGCCGTGGGTTCTGGTGCTTCAGGTGACACTTGAGGCCAACCATGGTGCTGGGACATCCCAAAACTCACATAGAACTGCATCCCAAGAGCTGGAAAGATGTCTCATCCTGTGGAGACAGGATGGGCTCAGCAGTATGTGAGGTCACAGGAACCAAATCCATAGGGATTCTAAGTGTGGAATTCCAGCAGAAGGACATGGTGGTGGAGCTCTCGCTACAGGACAGGAGAAGAAAACCCCTTGAGGTTTGGGAACAAGGCTGAAGGTGCAGGTTTGGACTTGAGCTCCTGTAACCCATGTTTTGGCCAACAACGGTCCTGATCCCTCCATTCTGGAGACACCAACCTCTGGAATAACCCGTTCTGCTGCTTTTTGATACCATGTCATCATCAGAAGGTGGTGTCTTGGATTCTCAGGCTTGATGCCAGCTCATGGAAAGGGGCTACAGGAAAGCTGGAAGAGGGGCTTGGGACAAGGGATGGAGGGATGGGACAAGGGGGAATGGCTTTAAGCTGACACAGGGGAGGTTGGGATTGGATATTGGGAAGAACTTCTCTACTCTGAGGGTGCTGGGACACTGGGATGGGTTGAATGGAGAAGCTGTGGCTGCCCCATCCCTGGCAGTGTTCAAGGCCAGGTTGGACACAGGGGCTTGGAGCAACCTGCTCTGGTGGAAGCTGTCCCTGCCCAGGGCAGGGGGTTGGAGCTGGAGGAGCTTTTAAGGTTCTTTCCAACCCAGCCCACTCCATGATCCTCTGATATGGTGGCACCCAAAGTGAAGAACCTCCCTTTGCCTCTGGGGATGATGAAGAACCGGAATTCCTGGTTCATGGAAGACAATACTTACGATGTAAATAGCCATTAAGGGCAGGGATTGAGCAACAGATCCACGTGTGTGTGGTTCCCATGCTGGAGGAGCTGAGAACCTCCTTCTCCTCCAGTGTCTTCTGCTCCTTCCCCTGAGACTTGAGCCTGAGCATCAAGTGAAGTCATGAGCAGGTGGAAGCAGCAAAACAGCATCTCCAGGACCTGGAAAAGCTGCTGCTGATGGAACAACCAACCAGGCTCTGGACCCCCCAACCAGGACTTTCCCACCAGCAGGATAACTGGAATTGAACCAGTTTTGCGTTCCTTGCTCTTGAGGATAATGGGAATGTCCTTCCACAAGAGTTTGGGTTGCATGGAGATGGTTTTCATGGGATGTGGATTGGGAAAATCCAGGCAGGTTGAAGAGAAGGGACTGAGACTGCAGTTCCTGCCTGGAGCTCCCCATGAATCCCTTGTGGAAGATCTCAAGAACCTGAACAAAGCAGCTTTTAAAGGAGTTTTCCCCCCCAAAACCATCTTGGAGATGGTCACAATTCCAACTGGATTTGGAGCTTTCAGGATCTGTGGTGGCTTCTTGGGTGGACACCCCACATCCATGCGTAACATCCCAGACATCCCATTGTTTTCCCCCACCTTGTGTTTGCAGGACGTGTTCGAGATGCGCTTTGCCAAGATGCCGGATGAGCCGGAGGAACCCGTGATTCCAGCGTCTTCTCCCGTGGTGGTGCCACCTCCCACCAAGGTGGCTCCTCCCTCCTCCAGCGACAGCAGCAGCGACAGCTCCTCTGACAGCGACAGCTCCTCCGATGACTCCGAGGAGGAACGTGCCCAGCGGTTGGCGGAGCTCCAGGAGCAGGTACCGTGTCCATAGGGATGGAAGGGGGTGGCCTCAGTGGGGGGGTTGGACCTGCTTTTAGTTCCCAAAGGAATTCGCCACCTGCACTTGGTGCTTCTGGTAGTGAATTCCCAAGGGCAGGAACTTGCTGGTTTGCACCAAGGAGTTGGTGCTTTCCAGGAAGGACCTTCCAATTCCTGGTCAGGGCACCAAGGTGTTTCCCAGAGGCAGAATTCGTTGCCTGCACTTGGTGCTTATGGCTCCAAGGTGGTTCCCAAAGGCAGGAATTCACTGCTTGCACTTAGTGCTTATGGCATCAGGGTGCTTCCCAAAGGCAGGAATTTGCTGCCTGCACTTGGTGCTTATGGCGCCAAAGTAGTTCCCAAAGGCAGGAATTCACTGCTTGCACTTAGTGCTTATGGCATCAGGGTGCTTCCCAAAGGCAGGAATTTGCTGCCTGCACTTGGTGCTTATGGCGCCAAAGTAGTTCCCAAAGGCAGGAATTCACTGCTTGCACTTAGTGCTTATGGCATCAGGGTGCTTCCCAAAGGCAGGAATTTGCTGCCTGCACTTGGTGCTTATGGCGCCAAAGTAGTTCCCAAAGGCAGGAATTCACTGCTTGCACTTAGTGCTTATGGCATCAGGGTGCTTCCCAAAGGCAGGAATTTGCTGCCTGCGCTTGGTGCTTATGGCACTGAGGTGGTTCCTAAAGGCAGGAATTCACTGCCTGCACATTGGTGGTGACTCCAGATCCTCTGGAGCAGGAAGGACCTTCCAGAGGTTGTCCCTGGCCATGATCAACACTTTAATCCACCCAAGTGAGGGTGATGGGAGCTGGAAGAACCACCGCCATAGTCCATAGTAAAGCCTTAGGTGTTTCCATGGAAGAGGAGGAGGAGCTGGGATGCATCCCAGTGTTGGAATGTGTGTTCTCCTCAGCTCAAAGCAGTGCACGAGCAGCTCGCGGCCCTGTCCCAGCCCCAACAGAACAAACCAAAGAAGAAGGAGAAGGACAAGAAGGAGAAGAAGAAGGAGAAGCACAAAAAGAAGGAGGAGCTGGAGGACACCAAGAAGAGCAAAGCCAAGGAGCCACCACCCAAGAAGGCCAAGAAAAGCAACAGCAACAGCAGCACCTCCAGGTCAGCCCCATCCCTCTGGGTTTTCCTTTCCCTTTAGCTAATGAATGGAATTACAGGTGGGATTCCTGACGAGGAACGTCAAGGTTGAGGTCAGCTTTGGATTTTGGAGCTGATGTTCTGTCTGGCTGCTCCAAACACCCCAAATATAAGGGGGGGGGGGAGGAAATCACAGGAAGTTGCTCTGTTGCAGCTCAAATCCATGAATCCACCAGTTTTTCATAGCTTTCCCTTTTTTGGGGAAGGATTTGGGCACTTGGAGGCAGGTTTGAGGTGCCCCAAGTGGAGATAACCACAACTGGGGGTCCCTGTAGCTGGTTTTTTGCCCTCTTAAGAACCAGCTTTAACACAGACACTGGGATTTATGTCTCCATATGGGGTGTCAGGCTCTGGGACAACCCAGCCTCTGGCCTGTCCTGGTGAGAAACAGGCAGCATCAGTTGAGCTTTGGTCTGTCCAAGTGTGGATGTAAGGAATTCCCTTCTGGAGCCGCTCAGCTCTTTGGGAGAGCGACTTTCAGGGCGGGCAGCTCAGCCTTGGGTGTCAGACATCAGGCTGAGCTCAGCTTTCTTGCCTAACTGTAGGTTGAGCTCAGTTTTGGGTGTTTTAAGAGCAGTTTGAGCTCAACCTTTGGTGTCTTCACAGTGGGTTGAGCTCAGCTTTCTTGCCAAAGAGTTGGTTGAACTCAACCTTAGGTTTCTAACCAGCAGTTTGAGCTGAACCTTGGCTATTTTAACAGTGGGTTGAGCTCAACTTTGGTAGTCTAAGAGCAGTTTGAGCTCAACCTTGGGTGTCTTAATCACAGTTTGAGTTCAACCTTGGGTGTCTAACAGCAGATTAAGCTCAGCTTTCTGCCTCACAGCCTCATGGTTGATCTTCCAGCTCAAGCTCTAAATGCAGAAGAGGCTTGTGTGCAGTAAAACTCTCAAACCCAGCGTGGTTCAGGCCTCACCTGGCAGAGCTTTAAACCCAAGAAGCTGCTTTTCTGCCTTAGGCTCTGCTCTAGAATAACCTTTACTTGTTCTTAAGTAGTAAGAAGGAGCCGGTGGCGGTGAAGAACAACAAGCCCCCTCCAGCCTATGAGTCGGAGGAGGAGGACAAGTGTAAGCCCATGTCCTACGAGGAGAAGCGGCAGCTGAGCCTGGACATTAACAAGCTCCCTGGGGAGAAGCTGGGCCGGGTTGTCCACATCATCCAGTCCCGAGAACCTTCCCTCAAGAACTCCAACCCCGATGAAATCGAGATTGACTTTGAGACCTTGAAACCATCCACTCTGCGGGAGCTGGAGCGATACGTCACCTCCTGCTTGCGGAAGAAGAGGAAACCTCAAGGTACCTTTTAAGCCTCAAATCCTGGTTTTCCTCTTGATTTTTCCAGGGATTAAGACAGAGAAGTGTAGGATGAACTCTGGGAGCGGGTGCTCCAGACCCTTCTCCACTCCACAGGAGGAGTTTACTTCGTTTAATTCCTTTAATTCACCTATTCCTCCAATTTCACAGCAACAGTTAAATCCCAGCACGGAGCTGGAAGGTGCTGGCACCACATTCCCATATATCCATCATCGGTATTTGAATTCCCATTAATATCTGTCCAAAGAGAGCAGAGACGAGGTGGGAGAAAAGCAATTCCTCCCCGTTGGTATCCATGGAATGCTCTGGAATGTGGCAGGATTCAGGCTGAGGAACACCCTGAGCTTCCCACCTCCACTTGTGGAGGTAGAAAAGGGGTTTCCCCCTTTTTTAATACAACTGGGAGTTCCTTTTTAATGGACATTTTAATCTCTTTTCCTCTCTCTCGATATGTTTTAATCTCTGAATAGCTTAATCTCTTCCCAACCTATTTGCAATACATTTATCCATTTGTTACAGCCTCAAATTCCGTTTCAGTACGTATTTTATACCCATTTTTCGTCTTAATATCTCTTACAATCTGTATTTTATTACAAATACACATTTATTAATGACTGAAGAACAACAAAACACTTTTGGACCTGAATCACCCACAGAAAAGGGGATGTGGCAGCAAGTAAGGGGAGAGGGGATTTAAAGGGAATCTCTTGATTTCCCATGGCCAAGGGATACCAGTTACTTCCTGGGATAAATCCAAGTGGAAAACAAGCCCAGTTTACTCCTGAGAGCTTCCTTTATACTTCTGTATGCTGGCAAAACATGGATTTGAGTTCTTTGGTCTGGGGCTTTAGGGGTTTAGTAAAGGGCTCAGACATCACCCATGGCTTTGAGCAGCTCTAGGGCTGTAACTGCCCAGGTTGAGTCTCACTTTAAGCTACTAAAATCAGGGAATTCTGTCCTTTTCCACCTCTTTATCCTGACAACTCAAAACCTAAGTTGAGTTTTCAGCCACATGGGATTAACCCCCAGCTCCTGCTGGACACAGGGTGGAGAAGAAGCCCCCATGGGCTTAGGCCAGCCTTAAGCACTGGGCAAAGCCAGAACTTCCTGTGCCAGAGGGGTTTAGGAGGGTGAAGAAGAAACAAGCCATCTGTTAGGACGGGCTTAAATCCCTTGGGACATCACGCTCCACCCTGCACCAACTCATCACCCCAAAGACCTCCAAGACCCCACCACATCCCTACTAGCGCAGCTCAGGGATAGAAATAAGCAGAGATGCAGGATTAAAGCTTGGCTTAGCTGGAATATTGGGGTGCTGCAGGTCTTGGGGTTCCTCCTTAGCCTCTAACGTGCTGTTGTCTTCTTGCAGCAGAGAAGGTGGATGTAATTGCTGGTTCCTCTAAGATGAAGGGGTTCTCCTCCTCCGAGTCTGAGAGCACCAGCGAGTCCAGCTCCTCCGACAGCGAAGAGTCAGAAACAGGTTAGATGCAGCTTATTTAACGCCTCAGTCCTAGCCCTGGTTTTCTGTATAAATAAATATGTTTTCATTCCTGGCTCGGTCTTTTAATTATTTTATTGTCCTTTATAATCAAACAAACCCTGATCTTGTTGCTGGGGTTGGAGCTCAACGCAGGCAACGGGTAGACATGTTGTCTCTGGCAGGTCTTAAGCCTGACACGATGATTTTTCCTGAGCTTTTCCTTGCTAAACTTGGGCTTGAGCACTCTGAAACGTGTGCCAAGGTAGCTCTTTGTCTCGTTAATGGCCTAAATCGGTGTTTTGAGAGGAACACGGTGGTTTTCCCTCAAAGGAGAGGTTTAAAACGTTGTCCTGTGCCACAGAGGGTGGAGAAGGATGGAGGAAACAGGGTTTAAGGTGTCAAACCCTTTTGATTTCACAGCATCTTGATTAAAAAGGATTTAAACTTAACTTCTCTGTCACCAGAGTGGTGTCTGCTCTGTGTAACTCTTTGCTTCTCCCTGCTACCATCATAGTCCGGGCTTAAACTAGGCTGTTCTTCGTGGTCGTGCTTTCCTTGCTAACGTTCCCTCCTTGGATTTAGGGAAGCAAAGCTTGTGCCGTCACTTAAAGCTGGTTTTAGTTCCTGGCTGCTTGGTCACCTCAGAATCCAGAGGTTAAGCTGGGCTTAAGTCAACTTTTGCATTTCCAGTGGGTTGGGAAAGTAGGAGATGAGCAGGGCAGAAAGTGATCAGGATTTCGTGTCGTGGCTGGTTGGGTGCAGAGGGCAAAAGGCCCTGGGAGAAGGAGCAGAAATCCCCCAAAATGAAATAAACCCCCCCAATATTCGACAGGGTTGATGGGATTCGCCTTTGAACCGGTGCTTCTCGGTGATATTCCCCCTTTGAAGGATATGTTTGTCTGGGATAAGTCCATCTCTTCGACCAGATTTACCTGCTTTGATGTGTTTGGAGTGGAAGAGGCCTTTTCCTTTCTCCAGGGAGGTTTTAGGTTGTGATGGAATGTTGAGGGTTGGCTCTTGGCAGTCAGAAACTGGAATTAGTTGGTGCTGAATCTGCCCTGGCTTGAGGGGAGAAGCCAAACCCCCCACGTTGATCCTCTTAAAACCAGTTTTATTCCATTCCTCTTGATTTCTGCCAAGCTCCCGATGGGATCAACCAAAATCAGAGCAACTGGTTAATCGCGACCCACCTTATCGGTCACATTGGCCAACATCACCTCATCCCAAATCCAGAGCCTTAATCCCGGTGTCCCATAGAGCCCATCCGAGAAAATCCACCCACTCAACCTGCCCGCTGTGATTCCCCAAATTGGGTTTGATCTGAAATCCTCTGTTTTCCCCCCAAAGCCCATGATGGATCCAGAGCCAGAGAGTGGGATCCTCAACCGGGTCGTGGTTTCCTGGGATCATCTCCGGGATCCCTCTGGAGCGCAGTGGCAGGGATGTGAGATGGAAGATGGGAATGTTGGGGATGGGACAGTGCCAAACCCTTCTCGTTTCAATGAGCAGCACTAATTAAACCTGGGAAGAGCCTGGAATCTCCTCCAGTCAAAATTCCGCTCCAGCATTCCCAAAGAGTGAAAAATGCTCTTTTTGGAATGTTTCTCCCCAAAATACCGGCTCATTGGATGTGGAGGAGGCCAGAGGTTGCTCTTGCATTGGTGTTTTGTCCTCTTCAGTTGCTTTTCCCCAAATCCCACATCTCTCCAGTGTTTGCCATCCCAGATATGAGTGTTTGGGATTTAGTTGGTCAATGTAGACTGACGTTATCCACACCAGGGCTTGGGAAAGGCTTAAGCACGGCTCCAGCATGGATAAGCTCAGTCTACAGCAGAGTTACCACCACTGGGGGATGAATCCGACCTGAAATGCTTTGGGTTGGATGTTAATTATGGGAATTAATCTCTTGTACTCAATTAATTTCCAGTCTCGATGGGGTTTTCCTCCTCTGTTTGATAAAACACACGATTAAACCCCTGACCACAGGGATCCAATGGATCTTCTCCATCCCAGTATTTGCCATGTTACCATTGACCCGCTTTTAAGTGGGATTTTAAGGTGGCTTAAGACATTTTAAGATGGTTTAAGACCTTCTAAGGTGATGTTTTAAGAGGTTTTAGGACATTCTAAGATGTTTTAAGACCTTTTAAGAGGTCTTAAGATGGTTTAAGACTTTTTAAGATGATGTTTTAAGAGGTTATAGGACACTTTAAGATGTTTTAAGATCTCTTACGACTATGTTTTAAGACTGCTTCAAGACATTTCAAGATGGTTTAAGACATCTTAAGACCTTCTGAAGACCCTTTAAGATGTTTTAAGACATGGTTTTGACCCTGAGCATTCTCTTGTCGGCTTAGATGATGTTATTTAATGACCCCGAGCGGGACAGGGCCATTAATTTTGCTGTTGTACAATATTGAGCTGAGGATTTGATTTCAGATTTGCTCCTTCCAAATATTCCCAGTGATGGTTCCTATGGGATTTGCCAAAAGAGGCAGTTATGGCTGTTCTAAGCTGAGGCTGCCACCCTGAAATTGTAAGCTGGGATTAATTGCAGCTCCATTCTCTTCTCCTTTAAGGAGCTGCCTCTTGGCTTTGAGCACTCCAGAGCTTTGGGAATGGGAATTCTTTGTTGTACCCACGCGACGTTTCCATCCCACCGTGTCATTGTATGAAATCAGGAGCGTTTAGCCCCAAATCTGCTGAAACATTGAAACCAGGAGGCTTCAAAGGGAGAAAAAGGCAGAAATACTAATCCTGGTACTGGGTTTGTGGCACTGGGGCTGAGCCTTTGCCTTTAGCTCTGGGAACCCAGCGGTGCCGATCACGAGGGTTAGTCTGGTTTAACTGCTTGTAATTAGGCATTAGAGGATGCAAATGATCCCAAACTCCAGCCTGGAAGCATCTTGGTAGGACTTTTTGCTTGCAAACAGCCAGGAGTGAGCTCTCCAAGCACTTCAGATGCTTCCAGCATCAGTGCTTAGGCTGGACTGGGGTTTAGCCACATCGGGCAGCTTAAAACCCAGCTTTGCTTTGGGAGGTGACCAAATTTGGGCTCATTTCATGGCAAACTGGCTGGGCTCTGCCTGTTCGTTCTCACAGCTCGGCCCAGCAGGGTTTAATCCCCCGTGTACTTTGGGAGATGCTTCCCAAGGCCCCCAGAAGACCATTTGTGGGGAGAAGTCACAGAGCTGCCCTAACAGCAGCAATTAAAACCTCAGCAGTTAAACCCGAGGCTCCTTTTCCTTTTCTGCTGAGATTCCCTAAGGAAAACTGTGTTTTCTCTGCAGGTTTTATGCAGTTGTGGAAAGGAAAAGGCTTTGCAGGTTGTTCAGAGCTGCAGCAACGTGGTTATGTTTTAAGCAGGCTTAAAAAGCGGGATTAGAGCTGGCTTAGCAAGGCTGGAAGACCCAGGTTTGGGGTTGGGAAGCTGCTTGCAGCAGATCTGTAAGTGCTGTTGCAATGAGTTGCTGGTCCTGTTTTAGGAGGAGGAGCATTGACCTATGGCTGGGGTTCTTGGTTCAGTTCCAGAGGTACATGGGTTTAATTCCAAAGTACTTGGGTTTAAATCACAGCAACCCGGCTTTGATGTGCAGGTACCTGAGGTTTGATTCACAGGTACCCAGAATTTGCATGTAACGGGTTAAATGGCAGGAGACTGGGTTTAATTCACAAGTATTTGGTTTAAACCAGAGCTATCAGGGTTTAATCCAGAGGTACCCATGTTTAATTCAGAGTTACCTGGGTTTAATTCGTAGTTAGGTGGGTTTAATTCAAAGGTACTCGAGTTTCATTTACAGGCACACAGGTTTAATGTAAAGGTTTAATTTCTACACCCAGCTTTAAATCACAGGACCCGGGTTTAACAGGCAGGTACCCATGGTGATGGGTGCTGGTGAAGCTCAGTCCCAGCCACTGATAGACCCACCACGTCCTCCATGCTCTGGTTTAATTCAGTGGGGTTTAATCCTTGACCCGTTGTCCTTTGCATTTGAGAGCACAATGGGTTGACTTAAGGACTTAGACTCTCTCATTGACCTGACTCAAGTCTTGTCCCAGCTCATCGCAGCTTTTATGCTCGGTGGGAGAGGATGGAGATGGTTTAGGCTCAGTTTAGCTGCAGGTTCAGGCGGAAACCACCACTCCGCTGCTTAATCTTGACTCGGGAGAACCTCAGATGGTCACTGGTGGGTGGTTGGGGTGCAGGCGTGGAGGTGACACGTGGCTTGACACCACCGTGCCCATCACAGTAGCAAGAAAGCCCCAAACCCCTTTAGTCTGAGCCTAAGAACGCTTCCCAATGGGAAAGACTCCCCAGTGCCTTTGGCATCGCATTGTCCTGGTTTGCCACTGACTCCGGGCTGAGCATCCCCTCCTTGGGTGCAGCACCCTATCAAGTGGAGTTTTGGGGCAAATTAAGCAGAGTTTGGGTCCAGTTAGACTGATTTTGGTGTATTTAGTGGGATTTGGAGACTGACATGATCCAGGTGTTCTTCCGGCAGCGCCGTGGTCGCTGGCATCTCGATTTTGGGTGGATTCTTGGAGCCTGTAGGGATGGACAGTGTCACTGCTCCCATTTCCAAAGCAAAATGAACGCAGATCCCTATTTTCCACCATAAAAGAGGCCCCATCGTGGCTCCGCTGCCCTAAAACCTCCTTTTTATATCAAAAAATGATCTTTAGAACCAAGATTAGACCCAAAAACTGCTTTTCTTTGGGTTTTTCTTTTACACTCAAGTCACTTTTCACATTTCTTACCAGAATTCCCCCAAATAACTGGAAATGATGATGATAAGGAACCATCAGCCAGCGTTGGGCTGCTGTGGGAGGAGAAGATGAGGATTTAGGGAAGAAGGAGATGCTGGTGATGGGAGCGGAGCCTCCTGCACCGATTTGACCTTCCTGTTCTAAAACCATCTCTTGATGATGCCACCAAAACGTCGTTTTCCTTGAATCCCAGATATTTACCCCATGGAGGAGATTTAACAGGGTCAGGAGGTGGGATGTGGCTTATTCCCAGTGTTCCTGCTCCATGAAGAGACGCTGGTTGAGCCACATAACACCAACTG